CTTTTTTAACTATTGAAAGGAATTTTTAAAATAATTATTTTGTATCAAATTTGCGTATCTGTAGATCGGGAAGTCTAGTTGAAACTTTTCAGAATGTGAATGCACATTCGGATCCTTCGACCCGCAAAACTTTTCGTAAAACTGTGAAAGATCTCTATCTACTTTGACAAACTTTTCCGGGATGAAAAACAATTGGCAACTACATCCTTGTTAAACTTGTATCCTATGAATAATCATAAGATCAATAATTATATTGAAGAAAATCAGTATATTATTAAGATTATAGATCAAAATGAAAAATTAATGCATTCACAAATAGAACAGTATCAATTATTTTTAAAAAAATTAATCTGAAAATTGAAAATAAAAAATTCGTCATTTGTTCACTAGCAAAGAACAGATATGTATAATTTATTATTTTAAGTTTTTTTTTTGTTCCAACTGAATTTAGTTCGTATTTTTTGGCATTCCAATAGCAATACCTTGACGAATATATTTGTTATCTTTTAATATATCTAGCATAAAACGAGCCACATTTGCTCGTGGTATACTAATTACTGTGGATTGATCAGGAAAATAATAATCATTTTCACATACTTTAACTTCTTGTTCTAAAAATCAAAAATAAAATCAAACTTATGAATCAATTTCATTTTAAACTGACCAATAATCGAATTATTAGTTAAACCAGGTGGTCGAATAATTGTATATTCTAAATCTTGACATTCTTTTTCAAGATATTGTTCCATGTTAAACATGGAATCAAGAGTACGGCTTATTATTGGACGAATCAAATATCGAATCATAAACGGATAAATTGATTGATCTATATCAATCATTTATATGAAAACTATGTAAATATAAATTTGTTTTGTCTATCTACTTACATTTTGAATACGTTGAAGTTATACCTATAAATCGTTTAATATTTGCATTACGCATCGCTAACACTATTGATTTAATCGAATCTTCATAAAACGTTATTGGCCATATTGAAAGACCAGGATAACCCAGAGCTGATAAAACAGCTGTATGATTTGTCATATGTTTAGCTAATTCCATTGGGTTCATTATATCACATTGTATTACCTGAAATATAATACTAATTATT